CACCGGATTTCCCAATCGCTTTGGCCCACAGATGCATAGATGTCTTTTTAAGTCACTATATGATGGAGTTACTCTCAGATTATTATTCATATCATGATTTTTTCGCCTCATACTTTAGGCCAACCAAATCCTCATTTGTCTAAGTCCTACTTCGGTCAAAGTTGAGGCAAGCAGAGAAATGGAGGAGTCTAGCCCAATATTGAATATCTCTTACACTTTGGGCTTGAGTAGATAAAGGTAAGAACTAGAGCATAAAAGACCAAAGTTTGTATAAAATTGCGTAGAACATCTTTCTTGTTTCACGTCTGCATCGTCCCCTTGGTTTTCTTTTATGACGCATTTGCCATAGCGACGGAAAAGCCTTTTTTACAGAGAGTATCGATTAAGCGAATTTCATAGAAATCCTGATTTAATCGCAGATAAGCATTGGTACAACTGTAACACCAAGTATGCCCTGAGCTGTAACATTCATAACAAAGATTGTCTTTGAGTTTGCCTCCTTTTACGATCAGCATTAAAGCATTTTTGTAATATCAATACTACTTAACAATACAGGCACTTGGATTTGGCTTCACACATGCCGGCACGTTTGCAAGACCTGATTGCCCTCCCTTAGTGGCCAGATCATCTCTTTGCTCACACCCTTAACTGATCACAATACTGGCTCACCTACAGCTCTCACAGCCAGATCCGTCTGGTGTCATTTCCGTGTTTCACTGCCAGCCTGTCGCGTTGTCTCGCCCTCCAGCAGAAGTCCGACAGTAGTACCGGGACTGCAATGTTCGCCCCTCCGTCTCTCCATCCGAGACACCTCTGCAAAGTCACTTGGACAGAGGGGGTTCTTTTGCGCACACACAACTTCGTGCCAATCCATGCGGATCAGCATGTGGAACTCACCATTTGCCGATTCTCCTATTGGCCGGGTCGCCTAGGCGCCTCGGTCCGGCCAATCTAGAAGAGAGGATCGCTTTCCCAGACACCCGAGGCAACAGCTCACACCAAGCCTGGGCTCCTCCTCGCATCCCTCCGACTGCAGCATCACCCCGCCCCACTCCCACCTCTAGCTCCCCTCACCCTCAGCTCGAGCCCAGCCCACCCCACCCCACTCCGTGGCCCCGATTGCATCATTCGCAATTTGTGCTCAACTGACAACAAGCCATGGCGTGGGTTGCGTCAGCCTCAAAACTCCGGAGGCGGGCTACTCGAGGCTGTGATATATGGACATGATTTATCGGCAGCGGCTGTGTGAGCAGCCGGTACCGGGCTCTGCAGATTTTGGACAGTGACCACTTGGATATTTGCGAGACCAGACTCAATTGATTATCGTATCACAAGACTCTGCCTGGCACAGACGTGGACGTTGTATACGTGGGGACGAGTTGTGCACATCTGCCGGTCTGGTTTGGTCCGGAAATATACGCTAGAAGATAATATATCAGTGTGGAGTTTGGCGAAGATGCAAGATCTGCTGTGTGACATGGCCCCATAGGTGGTAAACATGCCGGGTCTGGCCAACAGCCTAGCATCAAACTGTATTGGTCCGAACAACAATCTCTACCCGAGCCTAGATAGTAGTCTGGTGAGGTATGCTAGAGCCGAAGAGTGTGCCACGGCTGAGCATGACGCCTTCAACGATTTCGACGCTTCCGACGCATCATTACGAGGCAGTCGCCGAGCCGACCGGACCGGCCGAGCATGGATCCGAAGGGGCGCTGGAAACACGGCCAGAGCATCGTCTTTCCGGAGCCGGCGAGACCAGAGGCTCAGCCTCTCGACGCCTCAAAAC